CTGCGCTAACGGGATACGCTGGCGGAGCACCAGTGAAGGGTGATAGATGAGAATGAAAATAGGTCAGTTAGCCCATCATGATAAATACATCAGGAATTAACCATGATAGTTTCCAGGGAGAAACGCGAGGAGGTCGACTTGGTTGGGTATATTGCTAGCAATGGGATTCTCAGTCTCCTTTACTAACAATCCCTTTCCCTCTTCACTATATGGGTTCCTTACTGTTGTACTCCGTACGTAAACAATTAGATACACAATCTGGCATTGGCATTATGTCGAATAGTATAACAGCTCTCAGGAATGGCAAGACGTCGCAGCTCCTTAGGAGTCGATAAAATAAAACTTATTTACGATTCCATATTTATAATATAATTTATCATAATCGATGCAACAGTTCGCACGTAAAAGCGTTACAAACAAATCAACAAACTCACTTTCGCATTTATAATATTAGTTGAGGGTTTCAAAGACAAAATTTCGGTCAAATTAAAGTATTATTGTTATAAAAGCCAAGGAAAATAATTATGTCGAAACATAAAATGACTCGTGTAACGAGGGTTCCGTACAAAATCATGTTTAGATTTTTATTCCTGTAATAACTACAAATTTACAGTTTTCAGATTTTTTCCTTTACATTTGCTAGATGACATTTCTTCTTGCCAAATTTCATGATTCAAGGCCAACGGGAAGCATCCTATAGGTTTTGATTCTCTTTGCGAATGTCAAAATATGCTCTTTAAATGGAATATAAACGGACGTATCTTTTGATTGCATCTATTTAGAAGCTTGATTGCTTCATTGCTTTAACATTATTAAATCAATACATATAATAAAATCGTAACTGCTCGCTGTCTGTACATGAAAGATATATAAGATATATGAGAAAAAACTATTATTTATAAGCTTTATGAACGTAATTGAACCCAAAACTATGATTTTTGGAATTGTTGTCTATTTGTACGTTTGTGCACGCTAATCTCAGAAACGGCTAATCGATTTGAACCCGGTTTTCACTAATGCGTTGCGGTTTGCTCCACTTAACATTTAGTGTTTATTTTATTTCAATCGGTTCATAAATAAAAAAATTATATCAATCTAAAGAAACACATATAAAATGTTATAAAATAACCGATCAGTTGAATTGGCTAAAACTTTATGAAGGTATTAGATACATAATTATCATTTAAGTATATAGTATAATGGGGAGTGGGTGCTTGCTTAGAGGTCGTGGCGCTAATGCAAGTGAAGCAACCCCGACCGTGGTTTCACGTATTGAAATTGGTTAGTACAAAAGTATAACGTCTTTGCCCTTACAAATGGCAATCCATGGACACGAGTATCCATCTCAAGCAACAGGAAAAATTTAGAATGGTAGAAGCACATATGAAGTATTTATAAAAACTTACATTTGAAGCATAGCATTATATGGGTGTGAATAGAATAGAATAGAATAGAATAGAATAAATTTATTGTGAGCTGTATGTTACAATTCGTAAGATGTTATTAACGTCTCAAAGAAAAACAGCCTACCCATACATCGGGCATACAATACGATTAATTACAAAACATTAATTATTTTACAGTCATACATTAAAATTGTCAATAAAATTGAAAATAAAATAAAACATGTCAATCAACAGTCACAAACTAACTCATGGTCACCATTAGAACATATTAATTATCATCCTATATATTAATTAAATTATTTATAATGTCAATGTAAAAAAAAAAAAAAAAAAAAATGTCAAAGAGCAAAGAATTCATTCATATTATAGAAAGCATTTGCAAGTAGCCATTTTTTTAATAATAATTTGAATTTTGTATTAGGCACTTCTTTTAGGTTATTTGGCAAATGATTATATATTTTGATAGCCATTATATAACTACTTTTATTGTATATCATTGAGTTAGCTTGCGGCAAATATAAATGATCATATTGTCTCATGGGTACATTTCTAAGACGAACTTCAGATTTCTTTTTAAATAAGTGCATCAAGTGAAACATGGACAATGACGCAAAAGGCATTTAAAATGTGGACATGGAGGAGAATAGAAAGGATAATCTTGAAGAGAGAAAAGGAAAATAATAGAGAATAGAAGAGGCAAAGTACTGGGCCATCTTATTCGAAATGACGATTTTTTAAAAAGTATAGTAGAAGGAAAAAAAGGAGCATAGTACAGGGCAAAAGAGGAAGCAGAAGACCGAAGAATAACTATATGGGACAGATAAAAGAAACGCTAGGTATCATGTCGTATAGGGAGGTCAAGGATATGGCCTGGGATAGAGCTGGCTGGAAGAAGATGCATGATTTATTTGCACCGACAAGAGGAAATGAAAAGAGAGAGAGGGAAGCACCTGTTAATATTTTAAATGCGAAAGTTTCCAATGGATGGATGGATAGATTTTTTTTTTATTCTTTCACGTAAAAACTATGAATGGATTTGTATGAATTTTGATATACGAGAAGTTTGTGTCCTAACTTAGCATACGAGTATAGGATACTCCATATATCTATTTATTCTTCTATTCTGTGGCAATAGATGCGGGATATGGCTAGTTTTTCAAAAAACTTATTAATGAATGATAAAAGACCTCTCATGTTTATTCCATCCTGAACATAAAGTATGTTCGGGAATGGCCCCGTCCGAAATAAATAAATCCGATGAAACTTCGCGGCTGCTTTGCATTACTTATTTCGGTCGCGTTTCATTTCGAGTACGAAGTTCGGGCTGACTGTTTCATGTTAAGCCCGCATTTTTTAAGTTGCACCTTCAGAAACCCGCATCTAATTTGGTGCATCAGTTTAGATGAGTGTGATGCCGGAACAAACATACAGACAGACAAACAGAAAAAAAATCTATAAATGATTAATTAGTCCTTTGTTGTTAAATATGTCCTACGTATCGATCGTGTTGGTCGCCGCCTCGTCACAGTCCTATTATACGAGTATCAGTGAGCCTTATTGTTGCACGACGTTTGCATCGCACGTAATTGTATTAATAATAATATATTAGGCAAATTGGAGATAGTGCACATGAGTACTTGCATATACATAACATAATCCACTATTAAGTATTACAATTCAAATATAAAGTAAACATTGTTTAATAACTATATTAGGATCGACAAATATATATAAAAAAAAAGACGGGACGAAGTTACGGACACATTCAAATGCCTTAAACAGTTTAATTCGTATTACAAACTGTATTTTATTAAAATAAGTTGACATACGAAAGAAACAGTGACTCTAGCTGCCTGATATGAACGCACAGCCGACATAAACGATTAGGTATTGTAATTTTTCTCGCAACATCACTAAAAAGTATTTTTTTTTTTAATTTCTACCTGAATGGGATATATGGGCATGACAAGATCACTCGTTCATCGCTGCGAGGCACAGGTACTCGTAGTGGCCAATAATAGAAATATAGAGTCGAGGCGCTGCGCTGTAGACACAATGGGGACGATTTTGTCTTGTCATTTCTCTATCCTTAATTTTTTTTGTGAACTTTACATTTCAATTTGATAATTTCGCGGAAGTACTGTTTTATGAACCGTCAATACCATTACGAAAAAATCTATTGTTATAATTTTGACTTAAATCTATTAGAAGTTTAGTTCATGTTTGTCCTTAGAATAAAGATTTCTGTGTTACATCAGATTGAAATTTCTATTTTAAAGATAGCTTCAGAGAAATGGCTCTTCATAATCAATCATCAATGTCCCATCTGTTACGTTACTCGTCAAGATATTGCACTGGTAAACGCAACTGCGTTCTAGTGCACCTCCATTGACTATATATCATACAATATTTGCAAGATTCATAAAAAATTGAATACGACGAGTGTATAATATTTTATCTGGTCACTCTTAGCGGATAATTTCATAGAATAGAAATAAATAACCGCCAGTACTGTCAGAACAAAACAGGTGCTTGTTCCACCGAATTACACTGGGGCTTGCCTGTTTGTATTGTACGTCTACTTGGAAAATTTTATATAGAAATGCTATGAAATTATGAACATTTTTAGCTATATATTATTGATCTATATCATTAGCTCGCACCGTAGATTCGCCGTGAAAGTTACATGAAACTTAGCGAAGCAACATGAATGTCGAGGCGAGCTGCATACGAGTTGCGAGTTGGTACATGAGAGCGCAGCGTGCAGCAAGACACCCCAAATGATTGCAGCTCAAACAAGATGAGAGCTGTTCACGGCAACTTGGCGTAAACATCACAAAATATGCTCATAACGAATCAGAAATTACTTTCGCCAGTGCGGGTCGAGTGCCAGGAAATTCCGTCGCGTGTGTACGTAACGTCATTAACACGATTTTCAAAGCTTAAGCCAGTTCAATATAAAACAAAAAATATGCATCAAATGTAAGTGGTTCGATATTAAATAACATATTCATTGCACCGCATACGAGTACACCTCACTTTTGTTTATTTATCTACCGTGGCGATTTGAAATTTTAAAACAACGATCCCACAGGATGGTGCTCTTGGTTCGGGAATAGTTGCGCAGCACATAATATATTTACATAACATTGGTGGGGACATGGGGCACAGTAGCGCGGCCCGACGTGGTGAGGTGCCTCGTCGCCTGGTCGGCTCACGTTAGCTGCACCCACGTAAACGTCTACTTACAGATAGCTCTGGACCCGTTCATATAAAAAAATATTGGTATTTATGTATGTACAACATTATAATATTTGTATATGTATGTAGGAGGTGAGGTGCGCGACCGCGGTGATCTGACGAGCTTTAAAGTGCTTTTTTTTAGGGTGCATTATAATGAAAAATAATCTATTTCACATTATAAATGCAGTCTGATTCGGCAGACGACGGAAACATAGTACATAGGTAAATTAAACGTACAATTAACAGAGTAAAAAGTAATACTAGTACTTATAATTATGGTGAGTGGTGGTGAATAAGTGTGGAGCGTTGGGGGTGTCTGGCAGTGGTGGTGGTGGTTGTGCTGGCACTGACCTGCGGGGCGAACCCAAGGAACGAAAGCTTCCTTTTGCCGCTACTCATGGTGCGCGATGGATGCGTGCGTGCCTCTTTCGCGGAACACTGAGCGTCGTAACTGACGACACGAATCACTTATCGAATGCGAGCAGTACGTGTGCGTCAGCCGCGATCGCGTCCGGTCCGTGCCACTGCTGGCTGCCGACTGTTCACTGGCCGAGACGTCGCTGCGATAACTATATGCGCGGGCGCCGCCGAGTTCGCCGTAGGGCGCACCACCACCGCTCCACCGCGAGTCTCATCACTGCAGCATCAATGACGCTGCGGGGCAGCGACTCAGGACTACAGGACTCCACTAGCACCACTATGACTAGTGCTCGTTTCATATAATAGAAAAAGTATTTTTTTTTTTTTAAAAATGCGAGATTTGCATTTATTTTTTAGTTCAATGCACAGATGATTTTTTTTTCTTATTTTTTTTTTTAATAGATGATGATATATGATATGGAATGATACACCGGTCCGCGTTAAAGCTATACCCAACACCAGTGAGGATTGATAGGCGAGGATAAAAAGGCAGGCCGGTTAGCTTATTGTGATGTCATCGTCATCAACATGTCAGCCTTTAGCTGTCCACTGCTGAACAAAAGCCTCCCCGGGGGTGGGGGTGGGGGGGGTTACCAGTAGTTACCACGCTTGGCAAGCGGATTGGCAACCGCAGTCAGGCTTTAGAGATATTTTAAGAGAGACGCTGCTGCCCATCCCTCGTCCTCCCTTAGTCGGCTCTTACAATACCCACGGGAAAGGAAGGGGTAGTCTAATCAAAGCCGGGACCACACGGCTATATCGTGATGTATTCATCTGGAATTAAGCACTACAGTTTTCAGGAGGGACCGCGAGGAGATCAACTTGACAGAGTATATCGCTAGCAATGGGGCTAATAGTCCCCATTACTTCCCCACAAGTTTTATATATTATACTAGCGGCCCGTCCCGGCTTCGCACGGGTGGACATTTTTACAACATTTTACATTTTTATCTGTACCTACCTAGCTACCAATTTTATAGATATGCCCGCCTCCACCTGCCCCTCTTCCGCACCGCTAAAATAGGTACGTACAACGCGACAGCGTTATTTTTTTTTTCTATTAATTATTAATAATTCATAGATTACTAAATTCGTAATATCTATTAAATGGAATAGCCAATTTTAACAATATGTTTAAAAATATAAACACAAAGCAATAATTATCGCTGACAATTTGCTTTAATCGAAGTACGTCCAAAATGAAATGACCGCATGAATGACATAACAGCATGCTTGTACTGTCAACACTGAAAAAAGTTTCAATTGGACAGCACAATCCACATCTTAAAAAAAGTTTGAATTTGACACAAAAATCCCCATTAACAAAATGATCCACCATTTATTGAATTTATTTGTTACAAAAAATGTGATAAATGAAGAACCGCTCGACCGATTTTGTGCAAACTTCACATAAACCATCTACTAAATAGTCCGAACAAAGCCTAAACATTTAGTTTGGATAGGTGAGCCCGTTTTTGAGTTATAAAATTACAACGAAAAGTGGCATTACTTTTTATTTATAATATATAGATAATATATAAAACTTATATATTAATAGCATAAAAGTGGTCTTTTTAAAATCGCGTCAAACAGGCAGCAGAGACCGCGGCGCTTTGGTGCAGCTCTGACGCAGCATCGTGGGCAGAGAAGGCAGTTGGCGGACAGAGTTTCGTCTAACAGTTTTTTGTATGGTGTAAGAATTATTTTGGAGCGTGTGCGGTGTCGGTGGCCCAACGTGCCCACTACCATAACAACACACAGACTGAGACCACCTTTGAATGTTTACTAAGACTCGTTGTAATGTAAACATTCATAATAAATACAACTGAATGTTTTTGCAAAGTAAAGTAAGTCATGTAAGTATTGTTTTTTGTGTACATTTTAATACAAGTACGTGCTGTTTGAAGCCGAGTGCCAAATCATGCAATCATGCTGCAGCGCTGCTGCTTTTCTAAATTAATATGTTACATTTAAACTTTTCAGATAAATAAAAAAAAAGCTACATAATCAGCGAGCAACATACGACATATATTATATTATCTATACATACCTATAATAAACCGTATGTACCGGTCGAATGTTTATACATAAAAAAACGCTGAAAACCGAATCAGAGAGATGTGGGATGTTAGAAGTGAAACAGAACATATCCAACATATTTTCTTTTTTTTTTTTCAAAATTTTTTTGTATCTCTGTCTGTTTGTCTGTTTGCACAAGCTAATCTCTGAAACTGTTGGACCGATTAAAATGAAATTTTGCATGGTGGTTCTTACATCCCCGGTTAACATTTTAGGTTCTCTTAATCACGGAAAATTGAAGAATTCCCGTGGGACAGTTAAAGCTACAGCTTAGTACACAACCAACTTAAGTAAAGTCGTTTTGACCAAGATAAAGAGTGGGAACGACACGTTATTTGGTAATTGTGGTCCAGTACTCCCAGACATAGTTCATTACAATAAGAAGGTCAAACATGTTAATCAAAGGAATAATAAATAGCACACGGACAAAGCTGCGGGCATCAGCTAGTTTTTAATAAATTAGAGATCCTACAAATACTACAATATGTAATACAATTCAAGACATCAAAATTATTTGGCGTGCGTTGTGAAAACTGTTGGTGATGCATAAAGTAATGTACCAACTACATGTTTATACACCTCATCATCAATTTTTTATTTTTCATTCCTGGGGCCAAATTTTGAAACATTCTCCAGTTTCGGTTGTCCATTGATGAGCCAATGAAGACATTACTCTTCACTTTATCCTTGTTTTAACGCACTTCATCATATCTGCCCTTAACCGTCCACTGTTGAATGACACATGAGCCTTCCCGTTGGTGTTTTTGCTAGTAATTGCCACGCTTGCGGGCAAATCAGGCGGATTGGCAACCGCAGTCAGGCTTTAGAGATGTTATAAGAGAGACGCTGCTGCCCATCCCTCGCCCTTCCTTAGTCAGCTCTTACAACACCCACGGGAAAGGAAGGGGATATACTATTCTATACCGGGACCACACGGCCACACACAACGCACACACATACATACACAAAATGTAACACACTTAGGGGTTTAATTTTGAAAAATGCTAAAATTATGTTTCATTATCTTTGTTTAGTTCTTTTTTTTTTTTTTTTTTTTTTTTTTTTTTTTTTTTTTTTTTTTTTTTTTTTTTTTATTAAATTAGAATGGTAAACAAGCTGACGGCCCACCTGATGGAAAGTGGTAACCGTCGCCTATAGACATGAGCAGTACCATGGATATAACAGAGTATACTGTTTCGTTCATGATACCCCCCACGCGTTGCCATTCCTGAGGACTCAGGAACTCTTCTGTACCCTGTAAATTCACGCCATATCCCACCCTTCAAACCGAAACACAGCCATACAAACACAACTACTTCACGGTAAAAACACGAATGGGACAAAGGTACCCAAGCAATCGACTTTTGTACAAAGTCTCCCTCTTCTTCAAAAAAGGCGACAATACCCTATCGCGTCTGCGTACTATTTTCGAGAGTCAATCATTTTACGCGCAAACTCGACGCTTTCCAGCCACCCGAACAAGCTGGCTTCCGAAGGGGCTTAGCACCATAGACCTCATACATACATTATACAACGGCACATTATACAGAGGATCGAAGAGTATAATCTGCCACTATGGCTGACGTTTGTAGAGAATGAGAAAGGTCCCTCCAGCGGCACCAGATTGACTATAGGTAAATCGAAGTATTGAAGTGTATGTACAATAAGGCTACGATGTCTATCCAAGCACAGAGCCAGAGTACGAATTCGCACTATCGGTACGCGTCGTATAGCAGTGGGAGACGAAAGGTGAGGATGAAAGCGGGCCAACTGACCTACTGTTAGGAATTTAATAAGAATTAATCACGATTATTTCCAAGGGGAACCACGTGGAGGTCAACCTGATAGGGTATATTGCTAAAGGTCTGCACTATCAGGCGAACGACGAGAGTAGACAATGAATTCGAGGCTAACACCTATAGTAATAACATTCCTGACAAAAAAATGTATTCCACAAAGAAAACCGACTTTAATCGTGATAAAACCAGTCATTTTGATTAAAAAACTAACTTACCGAATTAATTCTTTTTTTTTTTTTTTAATAAAGTTTTTACAGGCTCAATTTGTAAGTATATCTTTTCAGATACAAAAGTTTAGTCATATCAGTTAGAAGTAACGGAGATAAAAAAAAAAAATACTGATTTGAGAACCGAACTGAGAATCTCCTTCTTTTTGAAGTTTATTGAAAAAACAGATAGACGAACGAACGTAACGACGTTACAATAATATACATACTAACTATGGTCACCAGTTCAGCCGCGTGATACTCCAAATGAAATGAAAGATAACGTGATGACATCACGAGCACCATACACCGCATTGAGGGGAGTCTCACGGCACGGAAGGTGGGAACCTCCCGTGCCGGGCCGGGCCCACCACAGCCTGGCCCATATTCTACCACAGATAACATAATACTAATACGTACTATGCGACATAACTTTTTTTTTTGATATATCCAAAACCAAGATTATATTTTTTTTATGAATTTGATTTTATTTACTTACTTTTAAACTAAATGAAACCGTCGTTATACACTTGAAGTTCAACCGACATAGAGGCCCTGAAGAATGACGAACACGGTCAATTTCAGGCGGAGTCCATTATGATTAGTCCAATACCAGCAGTGGGAGTGTTCGGGCAGCCCGGTCCCGGTGGGTGGAACCATGCGCGGTTGATTGCAGGGGCTACAGTGCGCTGTGCGCTGTGCGCTGTCAGCTGTTCGCAGCTGTGTGGTGCGGTGCGACGTACTGCGCTATAGGAGGCAGCCGGCACGTCGAGGCCGGCCGTTGCACGCTGTGCGGCACGCTGTCTCGCTACACGTTCAGCTCTGCGCGTAAATACGAGCCTACTGTGAAACCATGAATGTAACTTGTGTCATGAAAGGAAACAACGGGCGGCACTAAATGTGACTAGTGACTAACGTGTCAACGAATTGATTCGTTATTCATTAAAATGTGTATTGTTGAACACTTGTACCATGGGCACTTGTGTGCGCAGGTGGCAGCCGCCAGCGCGGCGTTCGATCGCAAACCGCAGGTGTTGCAGCAGCTGAATGTG